GTTTCTGCTTCCAAATCTTGGCCCAATATTTCTTCATTACTTTGATAGTTCTCTATTTGTTCGGCAGCATGTAATATATCCTTTAAGTCTTCTTTTACACTTTTCATTTTACTCTTCTCTGGGTTTTCATTCAAAAATTTTACTATCTTCTTCCATGTCAGGTCCAAATATAACACTTGTTCCTGAAGTTTGGATAGCTTTATCAAGTCAGCCTCTTCTTCCTTATAATTATCTTGCTTGGTGACATTTGAAAAGGTGTGCAAGGCTCCTGCGAGATGAGGTAAGGCCATCTATTATTCAATTAGTGATCCATACAAGAAACTTGAAACTGAGACAAAACAAGATGATATTTATCTTTTTGGAGGAGGTGAGAGGTAATCAAACTCAACAAGTTGACCTCTCGGCGCCTCCCATCTCTCCTTCCACTTCTGCCACTGTATGTCCCTCCCTTTCGGTTTTATTTTTACTTCCCACGTCTGGTGGGGAGGGGAGGATGCCAGAGGCCCCTGCACTGCTGCACCTTTGTCTGCACCCACAGCGGGCTTGCCGGGGCCCCTCCCAGTCACACACCGCCTGCATGGACTGTCTGGTCGCTGGACAGACCCACAGACCCTTCGTATATCACCTCGTTTATTTGCTGTATCCAGTGGCAGCTGACTGGCTTATTACTTTGTTGTTACTTCTTACCTTTCACCAGAAATGTAAGCTCTATGCAAACAGGGATTTCCATCTGTTTTATTCACTCTTGAATCTGCAAATTTCAGAAGTGCCCACCACAAAGTAGGTGCTCCATAGATGTTGGTTGGATAAACGAAAGGAATCTATAGTGGCATCTAATGATATCAAAGAAAGCTTCATGGAGGAGGTGGCCCTTAAGGAAGGTGGATTTTGTGTGCGTGTGCGTGGTAAATATATATAACAAAATATTTACTATTTTAACCATTTTGAAGTGTACAGTTTAGTGGCACTAAGTACATTCACATTGTTGTATAACCATCATCACTATCCATTTCCAGAATTTTTCATCTTCCCAAACTGAAATTTTTTATTAAACAATAGTGCCCCATTCCTCCCTTCCCCCAACCCCTGGCAACCACNTAGGATCCGAACCCGCGGCGGGAGCACCGCTGCGCTCCCAAGCGCTGCACTCACCCGAGTGCACCAGGGGGCCGGCCCCGATTATTATAGCCTTTAACCTCTTTTAATCTGTAATATTATCCTCATAGCTTTTTAAATGACATCATATGACACTATCCAGTAAAGCCATTAAGGCATACAGATTTCATTGTTAATGTTTTTAAGTACAGATTAAATTTTTTTGATAGCCAAATATATATTCTATTGCATCTTTTGTCCATTTTAATCATTTTTCTCATCTTAGTCCTTTGAGTCTGTCTGAAGCTCCGCTCATCTTCTCAGCCTCCTCTTTTCTATCCAGCCTCCTCTTCTGGAAGGGACAGTCACCTCAAGGAAAAAGTGGCCCAAATGCCAGGATCACGTTTTCTGCATTTGTTTCTGCTTCCAAATCTTGGCCCAATATTTCTTCATTACTTTGATAGTTCTCTATTTGTT